GGAGAAAGATCACACACACACACACACGAAGAAGCATGTCCTTGCTGTGTACAGAAACTAGGTGATCTTTGGTAAAAGAAGACTTGTTAGACCTGGTGAATTCCATGCAAAATGTTAAGGATATTCAGTGTTTTGAGACCAAAGATGGGGCAAATGCCTCTTTGGGTTTGTGAAAAAGCTGGAGTAAATCCCCTAACAACATTCTGCCACAGAAACTGGGGCAATGATACCTCAGTCTAGAAGACAAAGAGGGAGCTCAATGGAGTTCTGCCAGTCTGTGCCATTACACAGGAGGTGAGGGCAGGGATTGAAACTCTAGCTTGCAGCCCTTGGAAACCCCCCCCCCCACTCCATGTGTCTGTGATGCAAGCTGTTCAAGTGTACACAAACATCCATGACACCCAAGAATTGGTAAGCTCCAATATGTTTGCCTTCCGGTTCAATAGTGCTTCAAAAAGGATAAGATCACTTTTGCTAACATTGTACATGATCCACCCTTTTTTTTTTTTTTTTTTTAGGGTGGAACAAGTAACATGTCGCCACTGCTGCAGCCGCTACCATCACTCCCTTGTGACAGCAGTACAGGGAGAAGTTCACCATACTGTCACTTTAAAAAAAAAAACAGCGTGGCCATGCATGGCTCCAGCCACATGGGCACCTCATTTTTCAGAGTTCTGTGAACGAATGAACTACAACTACCGACATCCTTTGCAGACGTCTGCTTGCAGTTCACAATAAACTAGCGTGATCCTGTAGAGCACTGTGGTAGTTTATGGAGTGTCAGTGTAAAACTGCCTCTCAGTCTGCTAGAGTCCTGCTTGGCACCAGCAAAAGTGGAAGACGCCAGACTGGGAACGCTCATCCCTTGCTGTTGGTAGGAAAAAGCCTTTAAGGCGCTCCTGTTCTCATCTGGTGATCTGGTCAGTAAGTCTGTTTTCCAAAAGAACAAACTCTCGCTAGATTTACAAGATGAGACAAAGCATTTAAACACTGTGTTTACAATGATCAGCTGTTATGCAAAATCTTTATCCCAAATAAGGAGAAAAAAAACAAAAAACAAAAAAACCAAACACACGACAGCAGCATCCCTCCACCCGTATTGGTGGTGTCACTAAACTCTGGAGGGGAAGAGGATGCCATTTCAGTATGCCTTCTTAAAGTAGAACTATAAGTAAAATGTAATTTTTTCCATTTTGGATTGAGTAAGGGAGGATTATAACCTCTGCCAGTTTTTGCAATCTGTGTCCCACTGGGGACATTTCCCTTCACTTCCTGGCCCATAGCCAACACAGGAAGTGAGTGCAAAGTAAGGAAATTCCTCGACCACATTTACGCATGCTCTGTGTGCATGGGAGTGAATTCACCTTGGCCCAGACATTCAAGTTATAATGTACTCGTATACAGTGCATACCTGTACATTAGGACTTAAGCCTGCAGGGCCCCCCCCCCCCTTTTTTTTTTTTAACCTCTTCACGCCGGTCGCACGCAAATGTGCGGACTCCCCACCGCCTGGGCCTAGACGCCAAGCAGCCGCACATTTGTGCTCTATTAAAAAAGGACATATGTGCCGAGAGCGCGCGCCCTGCACGCTCCCAGTACACTTGTCTGGTACTCACGGAAAGGTCCCGATCTCCTCTTTCGATCGGGACCTTTCCCGATCATGTGACCACCGTAATGGCACGTCACATGCCCCTAAACCCCGCCCCTCGGCTTCTGGAACCCTTAAAGGGCCGGAAGGCGCTGGCATTAAGTGGTTAAATTACCAGCAAAACTTGAAACTGCTGCCTTAATGTACTGCATAGTTTGACAAATGTAATAGCAAAATTTAACAGCTACCATTTTTTTTTCTTACAAAGTTCAAATGTGTTTTACATGAAAAAGACTCAAAATTAAAATGTGGTACACCCAACAATCTCAATTTTCTTTTGGATAAAAGACAGGGAAGTAAATAGATGCCAAATAGGTCAAGACAAATGTGTGACTGCTTAACATCAAACTACAATGCCCCAAATTGTCTGCAGACAACAGTATCAAAACTTCTACAGCTCATCTATTAGATTAATTGTAAATTAGGACCCTAAAATTCCACTCTGACTGCATTACCCAATTGTGTAGCGCAAGAGTCACCTACATACTTATGTGCGCCATTAAAGGTCTTAAAATATTCTATTTTTAGAATTTATTTTTTTTAAATGTTTATATAGAAAGGTGTCAACTCTCTGCAGAATGGCTCAAAACACCCCCCAAAAAAGTGTATATTGGTAAAATTTCAATGAATATATACTGTAAACACTAAGCTATTGTGATTAAACTTCAGCTGCTATTTAAAAAAGGTGAACCCTTAAATATATAAAAAAATTTCCACCATGCAAGAATCTTCAATATATCCCAAAGTGAAGGGAACACTTTGAAATATACTGAAGATGCTTATGGAGGTGGAATGTTTACAATAACACGTTCAAGGAGTGTTTACATGGATTTTTGATTGCGACTTAGTCACATTTGGAGCCCTTTTGTTTGACTTTTCTCCACTTCATAATTGAGGATTTTAAGGTTTACACGTTTGATTTTATAACTTGCCATCTGCCCACAGTACTTTGACAGCGAGCAGGCTACAAGCCCAGTGACATACTGGTACAAAGCTGAAACACGTGCACTAGCATGCCCCATAGAGCATGTAGCAGTGCGATCCCGCCACCACAATCATGGCACCGCTGTGAACAGCTGGGGTGTCATAGCAATCACATGATTACAATGCAAACAGTCATGAATGGATTTCATTCATTACTGCTTGCTTACTGTTAAGCTGTGATTGACCAGAGCTATCACATGGTACTTGCACCCCATGTGCAGCCTGTAATCCTTAGATGTAGCCAATCACAGCATGTCAACAGTAAGCAAGCGGTCATGAATGGAAGGCCATTCATGACAGTTTACTATTGCTTATAAAAGTGATAATCACCATTATAAGCAATAACAACCCTCAACTACTCTGAAGTAAAAAAAAAAAAAAAAAAAAAAAAAAAAAAAAAAAAAAAAAAAAAAAAGCAGAGTTTCACCTATAAGAGGAAGCTCTGCTTATCTGCCTCCTCCCCCTCCAATGCCATATTTGGCACCTTTTGGGGGGAGGGGGAAGCAGATACCTGGTTATAACAGGTACTCACTTTCAGCTCAGTCCGCTGCGGCGAACTGAGTGGGCAGTTTGCACATATACAGACACACCTCTTTCCCCCGTTTCCGTCTGGGACATTGCACATGTCCCAGAGAACTGCTGCCCATTCACAAAGCGCAGTGAGATTCGCACAGTAGGAAACAAGGCTTTACTGCCAGTTTCCCTTTTTCAAGATGGCAGCGCCAATTAAAGCATTGGCTCGGGGTGAAGACACTGTAGGATCCCTGGAAAGTTAAGTGCCCCAATATTAAGTCAGCAACTACAGTATTTGTGAATAGGATGAATCTCATTAAATGGGGGGCACAGACAGCAATAAAAACTGACAGATGTTCTTGATCCCTTTCCACTCTACCCAAAAAAAAAAAAAAAATAATAATTTTGCCCTTCGTTATATTTGAAGGACAAAAATTGCCCTCATCTTCTGTTTTCTAGGCCACAGCACATTGAATCTAACTGCTCTAAACTAGAAGTGCGCTTACCTGGAATCACTTCTATTTGAGAGTTTAAAGCTGCCTCTACAAAAATGTTGCAACCACTAGTTTGTTTATATTCTGTTTATTGTAGCCCCTTAAAACTTCATGGTGGCAGCTGTAGAAGTGTTAAAATGGTAGGCATTAGAAAAAAAAAAGCTTTTACAAACATTGCTTACAAAAGACACTAGCATTCAATCAGTAAACAAGCAGCATTTGCACCTGGTCAATACAGCTACTGCAATGGTATGGACTGGGAAACCACATTAAAAAGTGAATGTAAACACTAAAATCTTACAGTATGTTTGGCATCATGTCTCACTAAGAGCTGATTCACAGATGTGTGGTGCTGATTGAAGCTCAGGTTTCACAGCTAAATTGACAGTTCAGATCAGGTTCAGGACCGGATTTTTTCCTGTTCACGCCTGTGCGGTTCAGAAACTGTTCCCACAGAAGTCAATAGCCTGTAATCCGCACCTGAACCTGATGGCACTGCTCAGAAATTGTACAGGACTCAAACTGCACTAAATCTGCACCGCCAGTGCACCAGACATATGTGAACAGGCACCGTAGGAAGTTATTTCATGTCATGCAGATTGAATGCAGTTTGCACTGCATCCAATCGGCATATGTGAACCAGCACTAAAGGAATTTTTTTTTGTTAATGTGTTGCAAGGTTTTATTTAACCTTGAGATTCTGATGTCAGCCTGCTGTGCAAGCACTTTACTGGTCTTTAGGCGGTTTATCGGAGACCACTCGAAGGCAAAATGAAGGTGCTTGCAAAGCAAGCTGACAACAGGATGGCTTAGAGCTGTCAGGAAGTGTGCGACAGATTCCCAAGAAACCGTTTGCTCAAGAAAACTGTATACAGTGAGGCATGATTCCAAACACTGAAAAATATATCAAGTTTACAATTTGTAACCAGCCGGAAACTTTGTTCTTATGAACAAACATTAAATGCTTAGCTGCAAAAATAAAACATTAGTTTACACACCCACCCAAAAAAATTTTGGAAATGAAGTGCCCCTTTTTGCACTGGAACCCCAAACCCTTAATATTGTTCAACTACTGCAACAGTAGAAACAGTACAAACTATGTTGACATATTACTACTGTTTACCAGTAATGCAGGAAAACTCCTGTGGAATTGTGTCCATTCTGCTTTATGACTTCTATAAAGGGCAAGCCAATAGGGAAGTCAGACGAGATGGAACACCATCAATAAAGTGGTCCCCTTCAGATCTGGACCACAGTGATTGGGAACAGGCCGCCAAATTCAAAACATTCCCACGTATGAAAAACAACAAATAAGTAAGCCTGAAATTACCAACCCATAGGCTTAATGACGCCATGGTTACCTGGTCATCATTCAGATAGTTGGGTAAACCTCCAATGAATAGCTTGTGTGCAGAGTCTGGAACAACGGTGGATACCACCCCTGTTAAGAAAGGAATGATATTTGGAGAGAAAAAACCCACTTAATATGGCGCAAGATCCATTCTCTTTTAAACAAAGGACATTTTCCATCTATGGCTTTTGTCAGTTCAGAAGTCCTGGAAGGAACTGCAAACTCTGTAATAATAAAATACGCACTATGCTCTGCCAGAAAACAAAAAATGTTATTACCGAATGCCTAAATTAACCAAATGATCATTGAATGCTATAGAACAAGCACTGCGCTAAAGGAAACTGAAATTTAACAGAATATTTGTGGGGGAATTGAAATGTAAAACATTGTGCACTAGTACATAATCAGTATTACTTATCTGTAATAAAAAACTTAAGTCTTACCTGGCACATACACAGATGGATTTTCGGACATGCCAGGCAAGGGTTGGTAATCGTGCGGACGGCGAATCTTTAATGACTGGCCTTGGAAAATTATGCCATCAAATGCCATTGCCTGTGTGGTCTCATCAACAGATCGGAACTGCACAGAAAATCAATGGACAATGTTTCAGTAATGTAAAACTTGCAATTTTGAGGAAACTTCTTTTTTTTTTTTTTTTCCCCCCCCTTCTATGAACTCACCTCCAAGAATGCAAAGTTTTTGTCTTGGTTGATCTGCACTGCAAGGACAGGGTTTCCAGGTGCTTGTGTTAATCCACCAAGGCGCATTTGAGCATTAAAGAAGTCCATCATTGCTTCCTGTAAGGGGAAAAAAAATATGAAAGATAGGTTGTCTGATTTATCTGCTTACAGTAAAAGTAGATAGCATTTGTAAGATCTAGAATGTCCTACTTGCCTTGCATGATGGTAGCAAACTTATTTTGCTACGAAGGGATTTCAGCCCCACAATTTTCACTTTGAAAAGAAATGGAAACAACTTTTTGATCTTGTTTTTTCAAAATAGAAAAGGGTTTTTATTCAAAGTTTGCGTAAGGAAAAAAAGGTTTTATAAACTAACAACCAATTTCTGCAAACACCAAACTAACTGCAGCCTTATGCGGTCAAACTTTGAAACAAAAGGCATTACAAGGAGATTGCAGGGCCATTTGGTACATTTTCCCTTTGATGTCTGTAATGTTACCATTTCCAGAAGTAAAAAGAGTAAACACTGAGACCCAGATTGTATTAAAAACCAAAACAAAAAAAAAACAAAAAAAAAAACCACACACCACACCAAAAATCCTACAGCTTATTTGCAAGCAATCCCTTCTTGCAGACAAACTTTTTCCAAATGCTAATTGTAATTCCAGTTTTCAGCATTACAAAGATCTGCTGCAGATCCCCAAAAATGATAGTGCACCCCAAAACTAACTTTCCCATTAGCAGTATAAGAAAAGTTATTGCACAAGCATTAATGTAGCTCTATTCCCCTCCAGACTCCTACCACTTTACACTTTTTTGTTGTTTAAAGAAAATACTTACATCAATGTTTCTGGTTTGTCAACACTAATTTAAACTGAACAGTGAGCTAGCCTGCCCAATCCAGGAGCTAGAAGGCAATCCAAGACTGCTTTAACAGACTCTTTAGGGCACACTAGTTACCTGCAACTTGGGATCTTTCCAGCTCTTGTCTACCAATGTCTCCGGCCTGAACAAGAAACTACATGCCCTGTAGCAGCAGTAAAGCAGTGACCAACTAGGGAATTTAGAGCTACACAACATGTTGTGTAAGATTATTTTAGCTATTAAACTACAGCAAATAAAACCGTGTAGGTGCAGACAGCTATCATCAAAATGTCTTCCATGAAACCAAGTGAAAATAGCTTACCCATTTGCGGATCATCTTTCCGCTCTAGTAAAGAGCAGCAAGGTGTTGTTAAATTTTTGTAATACTGGTAGATGTCTACCAGGCAGTGTTAAAGTGCATCAAGTTAGGAGTGGACAGCCTGTATGTTAGGCTTAAGAAAGTAAAAAGGCCAATATATGTTAAAAATCAATGGAACGGAGTTTGTTGAAATATAACTGTTAGCACAGTAAGCCTCAGTACCTCTGTTATTCCGAAGGGAATATTTCCAACATAAAGTCGACGGGCCTGTCTGGTCATCTGGCTGCCCACAACAGGCACAGGTGTGGGTGTAACAGCAAGTCCATCAGGTGTCATTGTTGGAAGGAGAGCTGTAGCAGGAATCTGACCAGCAGCTGTTTATTTGGGGGAATAAGGAAAATTCAGAGCCATTAGGCGGCAATGTTCACAAGGAGCACTTAGGACAGCAATATCATTATTAAAAGTTGTTCTAAAGGCAGAATTTTTTTTACCTTAACGCATTCACTGCACTAACTACTAGCTTCGCAAGCCAATTCTTTCATACATGTAAAAATCTGCATGGCTTGCTAAAAAATTACTTAGAACCCCCAAATATACATTTAACACAGAAGGCCTAGAGAATAAAATGGAGGGTGTTTAATTTT